TTCGGTGACCGCGACTACAGATACCATCAATATTGCGGGGGGTTCTCTCAGCAATGTGAGCATATGACCTCATGCGTTCAAGTAGAACGCCAACTTGTTGTTGGTCTAGCGGCATATGGTGGTTCAGAGGCTGCAGCACTCGTTGTGCACGCGATGCCCCCACTCCAAGGGATCTGAATATAATCACTGTTAGGACTTGGAAGTTGGGGATGTGGAAGCGGGCTGTTTCAGCTTCGTAGCGGGTTATCTCAAACCGTGCTAACGTCTGGTCGATACGTTCACCCGCATGGGCTCGAAAGTCCATGAGAGCCGTACCAGAGTTGAGTTCGCGCTCCTCTTCTAAGTTCTCGAACTTCGTGCTTAAGAGGAACAGAATGCAGGTGGCGCCGTCGGTGGGGCGGCCACCTATGTTGACGCCAAAATTAATTACTGCTGGAAGGACTCCCACGGCTACGGTCCGCGCGAGACCTCCCAAACCTCGCTGCAGAGCTGCAGCCTGCTGGGAGGGCGTCATAATGCCTGTGGTCACATTGATCCAAACATGTACTTCGCGGACGAATTCGCGAAAAGGTACTTGACCGGCAGGGCCCCAAGGAGGGCCGGTCGTTCTCGCGTCGTCTCCGCCACGCATGTCCTACCGCGCGCCCAATAGAGAGCCACGTGATTCCAAAGGTAATAACACCAATCCAATGGCCTCGCAGGATGTAGTCGGATGTAGTCGGTTGGGACATCTGTTGTCGAGTCGTAAGTCTGCGTGGGATCGGAGGCGGCAATATTTCGCATCGCATGTTTCCACGCACTATATCTGCGAAGAAAGTCCCATCGGAGCAGGTGGGTGGACTTCAGGAGCGCAGTAGCACAGGGAGGCAAGGTGCAGTTAAGAGACCTCCGCTTGGACAGAAGCATCGTTGCAAGAGTCCTGGCGGCACTGCGTACTTATATACAGTCCTCCGCGCAAACCCACTGCACCCTGATGTTCCACCAGATCCGTAGCCCACCAGGTAGTGCCGTGGATAGCGAGGAGCAGAGCAAGAGCTGACCACCATAGGCCAGCTCCGCTACCAAGTTTGAAAGGGGCTGGGAGGCCCAGCCAGCAGCTTCGCCTCAGGCGAAGCCAAGCTCCCGCTCTGTTGCACCGTAGTAACGATAGTCCCAGTAGGACAGGATGTGCCATCTCAAGCAGTAGGAGGATCCTTATGGTCTAGATAGCGATTGTGTGCCTCGCAGCGAGGCATCGCAAAAAGTCGATGTGTTGGCGAAGAAAGCCTCATTGACACATGTCAAGTGGCACTCTACGCCAAGACGGTGAATTGCGAGACCACCAACAGCAAGCATGCACCCAAACCACGCATGGGCAACATTTCGAACAAAAAGTCGGATGCTAGCGCCGGCCTCGGCGACGATGCGTTGCGGGGGTCGCGCTTGTGTCGCCGCCGCCACCGTCTTGGCCGGATTCAGAGGAGGCCCCGCTCATCCCAGTTTCTCCGCCAGGGTGTCCAGCGGCAGCTTGGGTTCGAATGGCGCGTTCGCAACAAGTAACATGTCATCTGATCAGCGCAAGCCCAAAAGCGCCTTCAAACCGTCCACAACATCGAAACCACGATGTGCGACGCGAGCTCTCCACGCACGCATCGCCCTCTCCAAAACTGGCTGGGCTAGCACCGCGCCGAGCACGCGCCCTCGGCGGGCGCCAGCGTTGATCGGAAACGCCTGGCTCTGTTCCCAATTGCCCGAGACTTGTCGCCTTTAGTCGTGGCACAAGCGGCGCGTGGTCCAAGCGAGATGGCCACTGACGCCTCGCCGTCGTAAAGCCCCCCGTAGCGCCGCCCAGAGCACTCGCTCGAAGGCCTTCGAGAAGTCCAAACTGGCGGCCCGCAGGGGGCAGTCTGCGGCGAGTGTCTTTTCAGTCACTGATGTCGCTGTCAGCAAATGCTCCTCCTAGCGCCGATTAGACCTGAATCCATGCAGCTCTTCTGGATGCCGCGATTCCCAAGCGCCCTCCAGCCGCCCCGGCAACGCGCGCGCAAAAAGTTTGCGTGGCAACCGAATACTTGCGACCGGGCCGACAATCGCCGACAGCCTCGGATCGCAACTTCTTTGCCAGCATGATGAAGCGCGTCCTACGCCACGACTGCGGGGCGCCCCCCCCCCCCCCCCCCATGGGAACACCGATGTACAGCTTCAACGAGATGTCTCGCAACGCCCGGTTCGAGCGTTTCAGCAATTTCCAACTAAACCACAGAGGTCGGAGGCTCTCGAT